GACTCTCTCCTCAGGCAACAAGGGTCCCCTCGGCACCACCCAAGAGCCTACCAGGCCCCCATCCCCTTGCCGGGCAACTCTGCCTACCTTCACCCCACAAATTTGGAATCTGCCTATATTTAGAGAGGGCAGAAGTCCTGATGACTCTGGTGCCATTCTAAATGCTCAGCCAGACCTTCAAAGCATCTCCAATGATCTTTCAATTAACAAAACAAAACAAAAACAAATAAATGGCCTAAATTCTGAAGCTTTAAAATAATGGCTGAGGATGCCTGGCTGGCTCAGTTGGTAGAGCGGGCGACTCTTGAGCTCAGGGTCGTGAGTTCGAGCCCCATGTTGGGTGTAGAGATTACTTAAAAATAAAATCTTAAAAAAAATAATGCCTGAAGCTTTTAAATGTAGAGGCAGCAGAAAGACAAATATTGCACAGTGTCACTTATATGTGAAATCCAAAACCAAGGCAAACTCATAGAAAAGGAGAGTAGAAAAGTGCTTGCTCGGGCCTGAAGGGTGGGGGAAATAGGGAGAGGCTGGTGAAAAGGTACAAACTTGCAGCTAGCTAGAAGATGAATCAGGTCTGGGGATCTAATGTAAAATATGGTGACTACCGTTGATAACACTGTATTGTATAATTGAAATTAGCTAAGAGTGTAGAACTTAAATTCTATTCCCCAAAAAACTTCTCAACAACAACAGAAGATAAATATGAGGGTAACATTTTTTTTTTTTGTTGGGAAGAATGCTTGCACCCCAGATCCGTGTATGAAATGTATGAAATGATCCACACGTCAAATATCTTATCGTTTTGTCAACTGGACGTCAACAAAGCTGACAAAAGATGGAGAGACAGCAGTGTGAATGTACTATTTAGAGTCAGCAAAGCAAACGACAGAGAAAGGAATAGCTGGGACTTTGAGAAGGGGGTTGGCCGCGGCAAGAGGGTCTGGGCTGGGCACAGGTGCTTCTCGTTATGAAGTTTCTCTGCAGAATCCCATTTCTTTATTTCACCCCATCCTTATTTGGGATTTTTTGAATTTTTTCCTGGAATGGTTGCCTCATCCTTCAAAGTCCTCTGCAGAGGCTCCACCTCCATCTGGAGAGCAAGCCCTCAGGTAGGTACCTAGCAGGAGACGAGGCAGCAGGGGGTACTCATCTTTGAACAGGTAAGGAAACAGAGCCTCTGACCCCCCAACTCCCTGTTCACGCTCTTTCTCCCACCCCACAGCTCGGCCTCCCTCTCGCGCACAACCAGACATCTGTGTGGGCTTTACAGCTGGTAGGGGACTCTCCCAGATCGTTTGTCTTTAGGCGGAGGATGTGGTAGAGAAGGAACCGTCAAGCGCTTCGCACAGGTGTGGAGGTGAACGCTAACGTGCGGAGACTCCAAGTCCAAGCACGGACTCTTTCCCACAGCGGTGGGGCCAGTTTGGGGGAGGAGTCCGAGCCTTGGGGGGCCTGTGTGGAGGGGCAGTGCAGAGGTCGCTGGTCTGCCTCTCCGCAGAGCCCGGGCTGCATGGCAACTCACCCTGAGGCGTTGTGTGGGCACCACCTAGTCTCAGACTGCTGCCCTGACATACCATCCCTTCCTTCAGAGGCTCCATCCTGAGCTGAGTCATCCTGATGGCTCAGGAGTAGGCAAGGAGCGGATGAACCCATCTAGGGGACATCCTGGAGAGGAAGAGGAAGGTGACTCGGTGGCTCCAAGTCTGGCAATCTGGCCCCTGTCTGGCAGCCTCTTCCTGAGGTGCTGGGTGGGCTCTAGCTGCCGCCCCCTCCCCGAACCTTAGCACCTGCCACATTGCCTTTTCGCCTGAGCTGCGAGGGATCCAGTGTGGGACCATTTTCGGAAATGTAGAGCCAAACAAGGTAATATAAGGCTGGGCAGGACCTTTGGAAGTATCTGGTTTAAACCCCTCAGTGTCCAGAGGAGGAAACTGAGGCCCAGAGAGGTGATCCAGGCCCGAAACCCAGGCCCCACACCTCCTGGTTTACTGTTGTCTTCAGGACATTTTCGATGGTGCTTCTGCTCAGAGCTGAAGAAGACCTAGAGAGGTCACTTCTCCCTCCCTCTCCCGGCAAAACTCAGGCTGCAGCCAGCCCAGAAGGCTCACTCTGTCTTCTGTGTTGAAGAGATGGACAAATGGAATTCACAGGTATCTGTCCCACTTCTCTCCTAAAGGAGACCCGCAGTTCTTTCTCCTCCTCAGGTAGTAGAACCTTGTTCTCCTGTTTCCATGTCTCTTGCATTTGAAAAATCCCTAAGGTTGGCTGATCTAAATCTCCCACTCTGCAATTTAAATGAAGCAAAGCCTAGCTCACCCTCTGCTAATCCCTCCCCCCACCTGCTTTCTCTTCCTACTCATTCTGGTGCAGAACCAGCTACATAATTTGTGGAGCCCAGTGCAAAATGAAAATGCTGGGCCCTTGGTTCAAACATTATTAAGAATTTCAAGATGGCAACGGCAGAGCATTAAGCCAAGCGTGGGGTCCTGTGCATCTGCACAGGTCGAATACCCGCGAAGTTGGCCCCGCCCAGGTGTCAAGATCGATGCCTGAGCCTGATACTTAGAGCTGGTTCTGAAAGCACAAGTTGTCCAATCTCCTGCCCTTCATGCGGGATTCCGTGTCACCTGCCTTCCACAGGTAAGAATCTCCTGGAGGTTCACCCCACATTCCCTCCCTAGGATCTCCAGGCCTCTGTTTCACACACTGCTGGGAAATCCTTCTGAATATCTAAATTCAAATCGTAGCCCTTTCAGCCTGTTTCCTCTTGTTCTGTCCTCACTGAATATGGGGAACAGCTGGTCCTTCTGAGTAATTAATTTTGTACACTTGGACACAGTTTGTAATTCCTTTTCCCTTTCCTCATTGGGCTGAGTCTCCAGGGCTTTCTCCAACTCAACGTCCCCCTCGATGCCTTCCCCAGGTTCTCTGTGTGCTCTAGAACGCCTGGGGATCACAAGAAGCCCTAGAGAGCCCCAGTCGGGGTCCAGAAGGCTCAGTGCTCTGGCGAGGTAGGGGGGTCTCCGGCAGGGACTGACATTCCCATTCCCCAGTTCTCCATCGGGCCCTGTTTTCCTCCTCCAAACGTGACCTTACTTTCTTCTGTTTCATGACCCCTTCCCAGATAAAGTCCCCCGTCCCCACCGACTCTCACCAGCGACTCCACCCCTATAGCCATGTCACTGTTTCGGTGTTCGCTGTGTGTCTCAGACGGAATGCTTCCCTTGGGGAAGCCCCCACTTCCACCTCCCAGGACGGAGATCCATGGGCTGGGGTTGGGAGACGTTTATCAGAAGCCAGAACGGCTTGGGGGGGCGGAGAGTGGGTATGAAAGATGGACAGGAGGCCACACTCCGAAGTGGCCGCTATAATCTGAAAGAGCAGATACCGTAATCCCATAGTACTTCCTATTGGCTGCAGGACACAGCTCTGTCCTGACACTGAAATTTGGGTGTGCCTTGGTTCTGGAATTCACAATGCTCACAAGTTGTGAAGCAGCTGTGTGGTGGGGGCTGGGGAGGGTTTCAGCAGAGGAAGTGAGGTCAGTCAGCAGTTGATGGCTGGCTGAGCCTTTAGCTGATGTCCCCCCAGCCTCTATTCCCAGCAGAGGGTGGGGGGTGTCCCTGGCCCATTTTACACAATCTTCTTAGAGGAAGATACCTTAGAGGTCCGCTTCTGCTTCCAATACTTGCGCTTTCCGCTTAGCTCTGAGGCTACCACCTCCCCAGCATTTTTTTTTTTTTTTAATTTAACACATTCATTGAGGGCCTACCCTGTGGCAGGCGCAGCCAGCCAACATTTTCACTATGCACTGAGATAAGCACCATGGCCTTCATCCTCACGATGATCCTGAGAGGGTGGTGCTGTTGATTATGCCCATTTAGCAGATGGGGGGAGTGAGGCATGGAGAGGTGTCACTTGTCTAAGGTTACGCAGCTAGTCTGGATTCCCAGACTTCAGGGTCTTTGTGGATAACCAGGAGGCTAGAAATGAAGTCCTGCCTTCAGGGTGCTCACAGTGGTTGGAGCAGAGCGAGACGATGATGTCAGTGTTCTGAGCCTCTGCAAAGGAATCGGGAGGAAGAGCGAGTCTCTCTCTGGGGGAGAAGCCGTTCTGCTCCCCTCCCCAGCGCCTTGTCTGCCTTGTCCCATCAGTGTCCCCACATAGGTTCCAGACCCCATCTCCATTTGGTGGGGTGAGGGGCCTGCCTGGAAGGGGGCAGTTCAGGGCAGTCCCTAGCCTCTCCTTCCATTTCTGGCCAAGCCTTGGAGGGAGAGGCGTCCTTGTCACTGAGCTGTGCTGTGGCTGGAGGGGCTCCACTGTTCTCACCACTGACCCAGAGCAGCCCCATCTGGGCCTGTTTACCCTGCGCCGAGCAGAGAGAGGCTGCAGAAGAGGGGAGTGAACAAGAGGGGGTGAAGGGGCAAGAGGGAGGAGGCTGAAGGATTTGGACCGAGTGGGGAGTCCTAGCGGGCGGCGGTAGGGGCAAGAGAGGGCGGAGCTAAAATATTTCGGACCCTGCCAGCCCCAAACTCTGCCCGGGCTGCACTGAGCCTCCTAGACCCAGGACCAGGGGCTGAGGGTGGGAGGACAGGTAAGTCACCTCCCCTGCCCCCTCTCCCCGCGGTCCTGCGCTCGGTGCCCCCCTTCCAGTCCCGGATTCCAGGCCCCCCCCTCCGCGGCTCAGAGCGGGAGGGGGCGCCTCCCCCTCCATCCCCTCCTCTGGCCGGCCCTCAGACCGTGGCACCCGCCTCGGCTCCGGGTCCCACGGCTCCGGGCCTGATCCCCACGGAGACCCCCGCGGCCCGAGTCCAAGGCCCGCCCCCTCGGGGAGGCGGATGTGGGAGGCTCGGGGCGGGGGCGCAGCCGCGATCCCCAGGCTGGGGGCGGCCGAGGGTGGCGGCTGCCCTCGGGTTCTGGGAGCCGCGCAGGGGAGGGTCCGGGCCCCGCGGCCCCAGCGAGGGGCGAGCGGGCGGCCCGTCGGCTGGTTGGGCAATAGGAAACGGTTTATTAGGAGGGAGTGGTGGAGCCGGGCCAGGCAGGAAGACGCTGGAATAAGAAACATTTTTGCTCCAGCCCCTTTCCCAGTCCCGGGAGGCCGCCGCGCCATCCGCGCCGAGCGAGCCCCTCCCGGGCCCCAGCACCGTCCCGGGCCCCGCACAACCCGCGCCCGCCGCCGTCCAGCGCTCGCCCGGCTACCGCGGCCGCCGCCTGGGAGGGGAGGCGCCCGGCCCGCTGCCCGCAGGGCGGGCCCAGAGGTGAGTGCAGGTCCGCGGGCCGCCTGACCCCCAACCCCTCCACCCCGCACGGGCCCTTCTTGGGCAGATCCCAGAGAGCACCTCAGAGGGGTCGCGGTAGGGTCAGTCCCGGCTCCCTCACTAGGGCAAGCTGCCCCTCGCCTTCCCCGCACATCTGCCCGTGACCCCATCTGAGACTGGAGCAGACTGGGCCGAACCCGGGCTGGGAATCAGAAAACTTCTGGCTCCTGGGGCCAGTCACTTAACTTCTCTGCTCCCCTAGCCTCGTCTGTAAAATGGGCAGAAGGGATTCCTGCTCTTCTTCCCAGACGAAGGGTCTCATGTCCCTCCAGGCAGCTGCCTTCACCTGGGAGTGAGCGTCCACTTCCAACCCTGTTGAGCCCCGCCCCCGCCCCGAAGCCCACCTTTCCCAGACCAGCCTTTTGCAGTTCTTGCTTAAGGAATCTGCCACTGTCATTCCATCCTACAAACCTCACCTCCAACCCTGTATGGTCAGATAATCCCCATGCCATGGCCTTCCCTGGGGATCCAGGCCAGAGGCTTTCCCAGTCCCCCTGCAGGCTGGGACCCCACTGGAGCCCTGGAGGTCAGTGCTGTTAAGGGCATCTCTGGGCTGGCTACCCACCCTGCTTTTCTTCTTGAAGGACAAGGGCATAGCGGACTATAGCGTTCACCCTCTCTATAGGGGCAGCTTCTGGCTGAGTCAGGGTCTGTCCTCTCTGATCCCTCTCTGCCCCATTTGCCCTAATGCCTGTCCTCCCATTTCTTTGGGTGGTAAAAATAGATACCATTTATTGAGTACCTACTATGTAGTCTTAGATGTACACTTAGCTACATTTTTCTCATGTAACCCTGGCCACAATTTAGCAGGACAGGTCTTGGAAGGGAGAGAGGTTCAGACCTAAGTCACTTGTCCAAAGCCCCATGGATGGTGTAAATGGTGCTGTTGGGTTTTGGGGTGCATTTATTAGGCACTTACTGTGTGCCACTTAGTACTCTGCTAAATAATTTTACTACAGTGTACCCCTGAAATGAGCACTCTTGTTATTCTCATTTTTTGTAGGAAAACCTAAGCCTCAGAAAGTTTAAGTAACTTGCCCCACATCTCATAGCTCTAAGTGGCAGAGGCAGGCTTTGAACCCAGAGGCAGGATTTGAACCCAGGCAGAGGCAGGATTTGAACCCTGACCCCTGTTTGTCCGGTGCTGCCTGCGCCTTCTAGAAGTCTGGCCCTAAGACCAAGGCTTGATGCTTCATTCCATGGCCGTGAAGGGCTAGGGAGGTGATGCCTATGAAAGTGTTGTGTGTATGGGACAGGGCAGCTCAGTCTAGCCCTCCGCCGTTTGGCTAAGACTTGTTGACACACCGAGCGAGGCTCTTCCAGCCCTGTGACAGTGCCTCGGGTGTGCCGAGGAGAAACAATGACAGACACCTTCTGAGCGCACCACGAATCTGGTTCTTCGGCTGAAGACTAAGCCCACAGCAAGCAGATGATTTCTATCTTCACATCTAAACAAACCCGCATCGGGCACCGAGCGATGACAACAGCTCTGTGCAATCTGTTACTGTCCGCAAAACCCACTTGCTCTTTCTCCTCCTTTGAGGGACTCACTGAACCCCCAAGAATTGGAGGCAGAAAATGTCCAAGTAAGGATTTATTACCATTTATTACCAGCATACCAATACTACCAGCAATTTAAGTCGATCAGGACACACGTGGTGATTGTAGGCAAGAAACTTAACATCCCTGAGCCTCAGTTTCCCCACTGGATGGTTGCCAGGATTAAATGAGATTTAACCGTCAAAACTGAGTCCTTAGCACATAAGTAGTATTCAGAGACGGTTAATTCTTATTATGAAGGCTTTCATGGTGGTAAGATAATGTTTGAAATTAGTTTGGCGCTTGGGATTTCTGGCCAACATCAGTGATGCTTCTGTCAGCAGGAGATCTTCCAGCTTCGAAGTGGAGGGATGCCACCCGTCCCCGGGGGTCTATTTGTGCTAGAGTCCAGTATCCGGGCGAATCATTTAGGGCTGCCCGGAGTTCAGACTGGTCAGGACTCAGCACCCTCCTGTACTTCACTCCATGCTGGTCCCGGTTAAAAGCTGGAGAGTCACAATTTTACTCCACCATATTCCCGAGATTAGACCAGAGGTGTATTCTGCAAAAGCTGCCAGGCCCTCCCTGCACCATGGCTGAGCCTGGGACACTGGAGAACACAGCCCTCACCCCGCCCTCCCTCAGCAGTGTCTCCAGGTCCCTGGCTTCTCCAGTTGGGGGGGGCGGTGGGGAGGTGCCCTGGTGGGAGTGAGAGTCTCTGCCCTCTGTACCCTGCTCCCCGTCCCCCAGCAGGGCCCCACACAGTGAAATGAAAGCATGTGGACCAGATTTAGCACCGTGTAGGACACATTTCTCAAGGGGTGGTACCCATGCCAACTGATGAGAATTACCTGGACAACTTTTGCTGGTCCCAGATGGACTGAAGTCAGAATTTGGAAGTAGGGGGTGAGACCAAAGAATGTGCATTTCTGACGAAGCGCTTCCAGTGATTCTGATGCATAATAAAGTAGGTAAGAGGGTAGGTACACTGAGGCACAGAGAAGGGGGCGCATGGGTAGAGGATCCGAAAAGGATGCCCGATCTCATCCTTACTGTTATCCACCCTTTCCTTCCTGCCCCATACTTTCTCCTTAGCGGCTTTCTGGGCAAGCAAAAGCTTCCATGGATGGCTTCCCGCCCCTACTCCAGTGGGCAAATTCAGCTTGTCTGGGCCTCCTTCCCCAGCTACCAGTCCCGCTGCTGAGTGCTTGCCAGAGCCCTCACTGCCTGCCGGGAAGGGCAAGAGGCAGGAGGTCAGGCAAGAGGCTGGGGACACAGCTGCAGCAGCCCAAGGCTCTGTTTCCTCCCCCAGCCCTGGGCCTCTGGGGCAGAGGAAGCCCAGGCAGGAAGACCAGAGCTGCCACCAGCCAGAGAGGCCCATGAGCCCCCCTATCCCCAACCATCCTGCCCTCAGAGCCTCAGCACCATGGAGCTTCATTTGGTACCCCATTCTTAGACTATGGGCCTGCCGAAGCTCATGTGGCCAGCCAGCCAGCCCTCCCAGCCTCACTGTGTTATGCCAAAGACACGCCCTCTCCCTCGTGTTAGCTGCTCCTGCCTGGGGATCCAGTCCCCAGGCACACACCTGCACACTCACCACCGTTCAGAAAGTCCTTCTTGCTGTCTGACCTCAGTCCTTCTTGCTGCAGCATCAGCCCTTATCTTCTTGTTCTCAACCCTTGAGAAATGAAGGGGGTGGCTTCTGGAGCACTAGATGGTTTGGGACCTGGGTTGGGGACTATCAGAGATCAGAATTACTTCCCTAACACTCTTTACCACACTTCTGGAAAAGTTCAACCTTAACCAGCCACGGAAGGTCAAACATTCAGTGCCTAAGTATGTTTCACTTCCCCTCCCACACTCACTGACCCTGCCCCCGCCCCTTCCCAGGACAGCAAGGAGAGAGAAGGAAGGGGGCCAGGGAATGGCTCAGAGAGGGCATCTTATACTCGGGTGAGGTGTAGAGAGGTTTCTTTACACCTGGCATGAGCAAGCGCTGTTCAAGATCTGTATGGTTGTTACAACCCTGAGGGCTCAGACCCAGGCTGCCACCTGGATTGGGAGACAGAATGGAGAAAGCAGTGGCTTGGGAGTCTGGACAAGTGGGGTGTACTCCTGGTACTGCCACTGACCTTGGACGAGTCTGACCTTGGGCGAGTCTCCTCCTCTGTCTGAAGCTTAATCTCCATCTTCTCTAAAATAAGGAGCTGGGCTTTGTGGTTCCCAGGGTGTCTCCCTAGAATTCTGCCATGGGGCTGTCGCAGCCCCAGGTGGCTCTTCCAGTCCCTGTGGCCACCCCAGCCTGCCCTGAGAATATCCCCTGAGCTCTCTGCTGTGCGTGACTCCTGCCTGCTCTATCCAGACCCCAATCTAAACAATCTTGATTCCTGTCCCCAGCTTGGCGGGACCCTGAATGGCAGGAAGTGAAGACAGGAGCCTGTTTACGTTTGAGGCAGCCAGTGCTAGGGGGGTGGGGGCACTGGGAAAGGGGTGGACGGGGGTGGGGGGTGGGCAGGAGGCAGAGGACCCTTCAGGGTGTGTTCATGTGGCGGGGGGGGGGGAACTGCTGAAATGATGCTCCTTCCACCCTGGCCTCATGCCTTCTGTGGCCTCCAGTCTGAACTCAGAAGCAGGGGTAAATAGCTGGGAGTCCCCCAAACTCTCCGTCACTTAAACATGGCTCCCCCACCCTTTACCCCTAAGAGGATGGTTTCCATGGGGAAGTGAACCAGGACTTCCCCTGCAGGCCCCGCCCCAAAGCCAGACACAGGGAGTAGGGAGGAGGCCTCCCTGCCCCCCCAAAAATCTCCCAGTGATTTCCTCTGGGTGGGAGGGACCCACGATCAGTGGCTGAAAATGCCGAGGGGATCACATTTCACAGATCTTACTGTACCCCTGTCCTCTGCAGGGACCATGACCTTGGAGCCCCCCAGGAGAGGCCTTCTGATGCTCCTGATGGCCTTGGGCCTGACCCAGGGTAAGTACTAGGGAAGCAAGTAGGAGACAGGGGCCTGGATGGGGAAAGGGCTGGCTGGGTTCAGCTCGTGCTGGGGCTGAATTTGAGGAGCTGGGGAGGGGGGGACTTAGGAGCTTGGCTGGAGGGTGGGAGGCAGGCTCAGTTAGACTAAACCCCCAGCTACCCGAGCCCTCCTTTGCTGTCCTGATCCAAACCCACAGGCTGGTGCTCTACCGGCCTCCAGGGTGGGAAACTCTACCTGGGGGGTGCAGAGAGTGGGCCCGTTGGCAGGGAGGGCCTGGGAGAGCCCTCAGGGTTGGGGCTGGGAGCCAGGGCTGGGCCTAGAACCAGGAGGGAAGGTCCTAGGATCAGGGAAGGGACAGTAGCCTGGTTCTCATTGTGTCAGAGGCTAAGGTTCTGGAAGGAAGGATAATCTAAGGATGGGACTAAAGGACCAAGGCTTCAGGGGGTATGTTTGAGAGGTCAGAAGGGAGGTATAACCGGACAGACACGGGTGTGAGGCCCTGCCTAGGGGTCGGGCCCAGAGTGGCTGAGCTTCCAGTGTGTATCCCAGGCGACCCCGTGAAGCCGTCTCGGGGCCCGCTGGTGACCTGCACCTGTGAGAGCCCACACTGCAGGGGGCCTACCTGCCAGGGGGCCTGGTGCACGGTCGTGCTGGTGCGGGAGGAGGGCCGACGGCCCCAGGAGCACCGGGGCTGTGGGAGCCTGCACGAGGAGCTGTGCCGGGGGCGCCGCACCGAGTTCGTCAACCACTACTGCTGCTACAGCTCCCTGTGCAACCACAACGTGTCCCTGGTGCTGGAGGGTACGTGCGGCCGCCCGGGCCGGCCCGCCCCATCTTCTCAGACCTGCCCCCCGCCCCCGCCCTGCTCCCACCTCGTGCTCAGGCCAGGGCGGGGCGGGGGGCGGGGAG